CCCCAAAACCCCAAAACCCCAAAACCCCAAAACCCCTGATTTCTAAAAAATAATTGATGGTCTATAAATAATAAAATGCCCAGTGCAACTCATAGCGAGATTGTCAATCTTCTAAAGTTACTGCCTAAATACGAATTTGCATTTTATTATAATCATGGCTCTAGGAAAGGAGCAACAAGAAGTAAGATAACATTCAAGATAAACTTTTAATAAAATTAGTAGAAAATTGACCAGAAACACTACAAATAACTATGATTAAGACAATGCTTTCTATCATTAGACTCCAGAATAATCTTTTCTATTATATTCTGAAATTATGTAAATGAAGCTTTAGAGAATGCCAAGCAGCCTAACAAATCTAATGAACCAATTTAGGACTAATTGTAGCAGTTAATGATCTTAATGAATTTCATAAAGAGAATGTCAAGAAGAATAAGACTCATTACCCTTACACAGCAAGAATTTTTAAAGAGAGACTGATCAATTTCTTTTGTAAATATGGGGCAAGGACTCACTTTAATACATTCAAACTTCAGAATGAGATCAACTTTAAATACGGAATTATTAGAAAGCAAGACCTGCTGCAAGATTTGAGATCCTGGGAAACTTTACTTTGAAGTTCTTTCATGATGAGACCAATTAAAAAGCTTAAGACAGACCAGGATATTGAAATAGCTCAGAATAATAATCTCAGAAGTACTACAGCTGTTGCTGCTATCTTAACCCAAAATGGTGAAAGCGAAGTTGATTTTTACAAGAAAATTGTGAGAATTCCTCATTACCATTCTTTCAGTTGGTTCCAGCTATTGGAAAAAGAAGATTCAGAAAAACTTGTTCAGGAAAATCTAGAAAAATTCAGAAAGCTTTACCATCCAATTATTGAAAATAACTTCAAAAATAGCTTTACCATTTGAGATGGCCAGTTTAATAAGGATGAGTCTAGCAGTGTGACAAGATATTTGCTTAGCAATATTAATGATAATGTGCATCAGAATTTAGACTCTATTTCTCCTCTCAAGTATGATGTTGAAAAGAAGTTCCATAAGAAACACATGACTCAAGAAGAACTTTATGAAAAGATTGATGATAGTGTGACTAATCTTTCTCATACAAAGCTTTCTTCAAAGATAAACAGATCTATTGATAAGATTTTGCTTTCTCACAGAAATAGTAAGATCTTCCTTATCCTGATGAGTGGACCATTTTTGGTTGGGTTCTATATCTTTAAATATGCACTGAAAATTCTTATTTTCTATTTTCTTTTGAAGAAAAAGAAGCCAAAGGAAGGAGATGAACAAGAAGATCAAGAACCCTCTCAAGGTACAAATACTACAGATTCTGTTCCAGTATAATAAAGTTTAGATAAAATTAGTCAGAAAACTTGTCATTTTATATTCTGAGGATAAGAAATAATTTATAAATATTAGAATTCTCAATAAAATAGAATGAATCAGGGGTTTTGGGGTTTTGGGGTTTTGGGGTTTTGGGGTTTTGGGGTTTT